GTACAACATAGCAACAGGCCTTTCGGCCCAAAATAAACTAATTCCTTCTCCCTGTCCTTGGTCCATATCCCGCCATTCCTTGCATATCCATGTGCTTATCTGAAAGTCCCTTGAGTGTCCCAATTGTATCTGCTGCCACCACCACCCCGGCAGCATGTTCCATACTCTTACCACTCTTTGTGTAAAAAAAATGCCCCTCACATCACCTTTGAACTTTCCCCCTCTCACCTTAAATGCATGCCCCCTAGTTTTAGACATTTCAACTCTGGGAAAAAAGATTCTGACCATTAACCCTATGCATGCATCTCAATTTTACAGGCTTCTATCAATTCTCCCTCAGCCTCCGCCACTCCAGAGAAAACAACCCGAGTTTTTCTAGCCTCTCCTTATGGCTCATACCCTCTAAGCCAGGCAGCATCCTTCTGCACCTTCCCCAAAGCCTCCACATCCTTCTTGTAATGTGGCGACCAGAACTGAATGCAATAGTAGTCCCATTCCTACTGAGAACTGGTGAACATTCACCAATGAATTTCAATAGATATTTCTAATTGATCTGATCAGAAATATTATTACATATCTCCAGGGCAGATTGGACTTGAACCTGGGCTTCCTGGTTCAGATGTAGGGAGGGTGCAGAGGAGATTTATCAGGATGTTACCTGAGCTAGAGATTTTCAGTTGAGAAGAGAAATTGGACAAATTGGGAATGTTTTCCTTAGAGCCCAGGAGATAGAGAGGGGACATGACCGAGATGTATAAAATTATGGTGGCATAGATACGGTAGACAGAAAGAAACTTCTCCCTTTGATGGAGGGATTACTGACCGGGGGCATAGATTAAGATAAGGGGTAGAAGGTTTAGAGGAGATGTGATGAAAAATGTTTTCACCCAGAGGATGGTAGGAAGCTGGAACTCACTGCCTAGAAGGGTGGTAGAGGCAGAAACCCTCATATTATTGAAGATGTATTTGGAGGTACACATGTGATGGCAAGACATACGAGGCTAGAAAATGGGATTAGAATGGTTAAGTAGTTGATTTTGACTAGCATGGACAAGATGGGTTGCAGGGTGCTTTTCTGTGCTGTCAATGTGTGAGTTCAAATTGAGAGTGCTGTCCCACAGACTAGTCACAGTCATACTTATACTCAATAATTATTCCACACATGACCATCAATGGATATGTCCGATCTCCCTGGCAGATGCACCAGAGGTATTAACGTAGGAAGTTGTTGCCCTGGGAGTCTTCAACATTTATGGTGTCCTATGAAGTTTCGTGTCATCAGGTCAAACGTGTGCAAGGAAATTGCCACGTGATTGCCACTTATGTCTGCTCCCCAGCACAGCCCCAACTCCCTGCCCCTCACCAACCCCCCACCCACCCCACCCATCCCACCCACCATCAGTGCTCTTCCATGTGTAAAGGACACCACTCAGAGGGAGCACTGAGGTGGCAAGGGGAGGGAGTGTATTCTGGACTGGGGACTTTAATGTCTGTCATCGAGAGTAGCTCAGTGGAAGTATTACCAACCAAACTGGCTGAGTCCTAAAGAGAGATAACAAGGTGTAGAGCTGGATGAAGGGTCTAGGCCCGAAATGTCAGCTTTCCTGCTCCTCTGATGCTGCTTGGCCTGCTGTGTTCTACCGTATCTATGCCCACCATAATTTTATACATCTCAGTCTTGTCCCCTCTCTATCTCCTGGGCTCTAAGGAAAACATGCCCAATTTGTCCAATTTCTCTTCTTAACTGAAAATCTCTAGCTCAAGTAACATCTTGATAAATCTCCTCTGCACCCTCCCGAGTGCTATCACATCCCTCCTATAATGTGGATTTCAGAACTGCACATAACACTCTAGCTGTAGCGTAACCAATGTTTTGTACAGTTCCAGCATAACCTGCCTGCTCTTAAACTCTATGCCTCGGCTAATAACGGCGAATATACTATATGTCTTCTTAACCACTTTATCCACCTGTCCTGATACCTTAAGGGACCTCTGGATATGTACACCAAAGTCCCTCTGATCATCAGTGCTTGCTTTTCTGAAGAAGGGTCTAGGCTCAACGTCAGCTTTCCTGCTTCTCTGATGCTGCTTGGCCTGCTGTGTTCATCCAGCTCTACACTTTGTTATCTCAGATTCTCCAGCAACTGCAGTTCCTACTACCTCTGAGTCCTAAAGAAACATGGCCTGTGGCAGGTGATGAGGGAACCAAGAAGCAGAAAAACAGAATTGACCTTGTACTCACCAGTCTGCTGCCACAGATGCTTCTGTCCACAAAATCCTCGGTAGGAGTAACCACAGCATAGCCCTTGTTGGGATAAAGTTCTGGCTTCATATTAAGAATAGCCCCGATCATATCGTATAGCACTTCCACATGATACATGTGTCAGACTTTGAACAGGTCTAGCACCTCTAGACTGGACATCCATGAAGCACTGTGGGCCATCAGCTGCAGAATTGTATTCAACAGCAATTTGCACCCTCATGGCCTAGCCTATCCCAGGTGCAGCACCATGCATGCCACAAATTAGCTGTTAATCTGGTGAAGCTTCAACACAGGATCACTCATGCCAACTCCAGTAACATGGAATAAACAGGGCTGAGTGATTCTGCAATCATGAATTATACCTAACCTTTGCAGTTCTGCCATATCCAGTCATAAATAGTGGTGAGCAATTCAGCAACTAACAGGAGATGAGACTGCACAAATACTCCAGGCCCCAATGGAGGGAAAGCCCAGGACATGGCAGCGACCATTTTAAGAGAGAATTTAACCATCTCCCCTTAAATGTGCAATTGCAGAATCCTCCACTATTGACTAGAAGCTGAACTAGCCATATAAATACTATGAAAGCAAAAGCAAGTCAGAGACAAGGTATTCTGTAGTGAGTAACTGATTTCCTGTCTTCCTATTGCCTGTCCACCATGTGCAAGGTACAAGTCAGGACTGTGCTGGAACACTCTCCACTTGCCCTAAACTCCAACCACATTCAAGAAGTTTGAAACCATGCAGGATTAATTATCCTGTTTGATGGGCAATCCATCTATCATCTTCAACATTCACTCCCTTCACTGATGTATATCACAACAGCTATTACTCTTCAAAAGTAATTAATTGGCTGTAAAATGCTTTGGGATATCTAGTGATCACATAAGTGCTCTATGTAAATGCAGCTTTCTTTTTCAGTTTCTTTTTCATCAGCCATGCACACAGTGTCAGTAGTATATACCATTGTAAGAGATGCAGTGCAGTATATACCATAGATACTTGACAACACTTTCTAAACCCAGTAACCTCCACCACCTTGAAGAACATCACCACCTGCGGATTCCCCTCCAAGCCAGAGACCATCCTGTCTTGGAACTATATTGCGGTGTCTTTACTGTCACTATGTTAGAACTCTGAAACGTCCTTCTTAATAGCATAGTGAGTGCCCCTACACCCCAAGAACTGCAGTGGCTTAAAAGACGGCTCACCACTGCCTTTCCAGGGTTGTTAGCAATGGGCAATAAATGCTGGCCTAGCCAGTAAAGTGTGAACAAATAGAGAAATAATGAAGGTCTAGTATCTGTTCAGGTGAATTTGAAAGATTCCATAATACTATTTTAAATAGAGCAGGGGAGTTCTTCCCTGTGCCCTGGCCAATATTTGTCCCTCACTTCAACATCTCAGTAAATACAACTTGTCTGGCTGTTATCACCTTGCTGTTTGTGGGCATTTATTGATTGCAAATTGGTTACAACAGCTACTACACTTCGAAGTAATTCATTGACTGCAAAGTGCTTTGAGACATCTGGTGATCGTGAAAACGCTTTATATAAATGCAAATGTTTCTTTTTCAATTTGCTTTTCATCATCATGTATAATTTCACCAGTGGGCTCTCCTGAATTTGCCACATTCTTGTTCACTCTGTAAAATGTGCTAATGTTCTGACCGAGCTACAAGCTTGGAACATGTGTTCCTATCCTGAAGTCCATGCTCTATATTTGTAAATGTAAATGAACCAAAACACTCATTCGACCCGTTGGGGGACTCCACAGGATTCTGTTTTCTAATGACTATACCGTTTGTTCACTTGTACTTTTTGATTCCGAATTTGCAGAAAACTTGTATCCAAGATATCAATATCCCTTAAATACATGTGCATCCATTTTCCAAATGGGTCTTTTAAATGGTACTTCATCCAAGCCTTTTGAAAGGACATACTTACAACATTTACATATTATCTTCATGTACCCTCTCTGCCGTTCAACAATGAACTACTGGTCCCATTTACTTATTCAGACAGCTCTTTAATCTATCTTTCATTAAACCATGTACCGATTTTGATCTACGTTGATCTAAAAGATTTCATGGCACGCTTGAAGAGAACAGGGAAGTTTACTGCGCTCCTCCTCTACCTTCTTTTACATTTCCGATTTAATTCCATTAGTGGTTGTGCCTTTAGCTGCCTAGGTTTTAAGTTTGGAATTCCCTCCCACCTCCTTTAGGACACCCCATAAAACTAAACACTTGACTTAAGTTTGGATCATCTTCGTGTAGGTCAGTGACAGTTTTGCCCAATAATAATCATGATGAAAAAATGTGTCTGTGTGTGGTGAAAGAAGAAAGAATCAATGATTTCAAAAGGAAATTGGAAGGACACTCAACAATAAATTGTGTACTACAAAGATCGATTGGGGGTGTAGGACTGTCTGGATTGCTCCAAGGGGAGCCATCGCAGACTCAATGAGCCAAATGGCCTCTTTTGTGCCAAAAATGGTGCTATGACTCTATTCACACTGTTCCTGTTTTGCACCTTGGGATGTTTCACCATTTTAAAGGTGCATCATAAGGGAAAGTTGTTCTTGTGCCCAATATTTATCTGTCAAACAATATTAAACAGATTATCTGGTTACTTATCTTACTACTGTTTATGGGAGCGTGCTTTGTGTGAATTAGCTTTTTTTCTTTCCAATCTTTTAAGCCTTTACATATAATTTTGCTATTCTGAACCTGCAGCGTTCCAATTACCTGCACAGAGAGACACTGAAGCTGGCACAGCAATACCCAAACATCCGGATAACCTCATGGCGAATGGTTACAATCTGGGGAGGGGCAAGTCTGCTGAAGATGTATCTGCAGTGCATGAAAGATCTACTGGAAATGACAGACTGGGACTGGGACTATTTCATCAACCTGAGTGCCACTGACTACCCCACTAGGTCAGTCTCTTTGAATGATGGGAAGGTGAAATTAAAGAGCTCCTGTTTGGTGCCCTGTATGGTGCACTGATGTTTCATTATTGTCATTTTTCTAAGGCATTACTGATAGTTCCTTAAAGCTAAAGAGATAAAATTAATGTTAAAAATTTACAGAAACTAGGATTAAGGCAGATGAGAAAAAAGAATACTTATAGAAAAAATACATCTCTATGATATGCCATAAGGGCCTGTTGTTAAATTCTTTATTACTGAAGCAAACAGTCAACACTTGAGGTCAGATCTGGCAGCTGTGATGGCTTTTATGTTGAGTAAGTGGCGTTTTTCTGGTACAGATGGGCTTTCTCAGAATTGTAATTTTGGGAAGGTGAAAGAAGGTTCCTAATTCCACTATTTATGGGGCTTTGGTACATACTAGCTGACATCCCTTCGACAGATAACATTTCTTCTCTCTTTCACTTTCTCCTTGGTCAAAACTCTCCTCTGAGGGCGTCTTCTGCCTCTTGGAGTTTTGCTGCATAGAATGGCTGTTGAGTTACATTTACAAATTTCAATTTGTAAAGTGTCTCTACAGTGTGGGAGCAGCTCATTTGTCCCATACGACCCTAAGAAGGGCATTCCACCCAGACCCACCCCTTACCCTATCCCTGTAATTTTGCATTTCCTATGGCTAATCCACCTGGTCTGCACATCTTTGGACTATGGAAGGAAACTGGAACACCCAGAAGAAACCCACATAGACGCACACAGTTGTCCGAGGGTAGAATTGAACCCGGGTCCCTGGCACTGTGAGACAGCATTGCTAACCACTGAGCTACTGTACCATCCTGTTCCAGACTGACGGATAAACTTTCCATCTGTAAGGTTTGATTGGTCCACAGGTTAGACAGTAAGATAAAGGAGCAGAAGTAGGCCATTCGGCCCATTGACCATGGCTGATCTGATAATTCTAAACTCCTCTTTTCTGCCTTTTCCCTTTAATCCTTGATTTTGTTACTGATTTTAAAAATCTGTCAGTCTCAACCTTGAATGAACTTAATGACCTAGCCTCAACAACTCTTTGCAGAATTCCACAAATTGAAAACCGTATGAGAGAAGAACACAATAACTAGGGCAGGAGTAGGCAATTCAGCCCCTCAAACCTATTCGTGGTTGATCTTGGCCTCAACTCCTCTTTCTTGCCCACTCTGCATGACCTATCACTATTACTAATTAAAAATCGATCTCCTCCTTAAATTTACTCAATATTCCAGCATCCACCATTCTCTGAGGGAATGAATTCCACAGATTCACAACCCTTTGAAAGAAGTAATTTCTCCTCATCTCTGTTTAAATCTGCCACCCCTTATCGTAAAACTGATCTTTCCCTCAAGGTTGCCCCACATGAGAAAATGTGCCATCTATGTCAAATTTGTCAACCCCCTTTAGCATCTTAATTCGAACTCCACTCATTCTTCTGAACTCCAGAGTGTATAGGCCTGAATGGCACAATTTCTCGTGGAGACGTAGAGACATACCACATGGAAACAGACCCTTCGGGCCAACTCGTCCGTGTTGACCAGACATCTCATTCTGATCTAGCCCCATTTGCCAGTAATTGGCCCACATCCCTCTAAGTCCTTCCTATTCATGTACCCATCCAGATGCCTTTTAAATGTTGTAATTGTACTCACCTCCACCACTTCCTCTGGCAGCTCATTTAGTACGCATACCACCGTCTGCATGAAATAGTTACCCCTCAGGTCCTTTTTATAAATCTTTCCTCTTCACCTTAAACCTATGCCCTCTAGTTTTGGACTCCCCCACCCTAGAAAAAAGATTTTGGCTATTCACTGTATCCATGTTCCTCTTTATTTTATTAATGTCTATAAGGTCACCATTCAGCCTCCAATGCTCCAGGGAAAAAAAGGCCCCCATTCAAGTCTCTCCCTACAGCTCAAACCCTCCAATCCTGGTAGCATCCCTATAAGTCTTGACTGCACCCTTTCAAGTCTCACAACATCTTTCCTACAGCAGGGTGACCAGAGTTGTACACAGTTTTCTAAAAGTGGCCTCACCAATGTCCTGTACAACGGTAACATGACACCCCAATTCATATACTTAATGCACCAGTCAATGAAGACAAGCATACCAAATGCCTTCTTCACTATCCTGTCTTCCTGCAACTCCACTTTCAAGAACAATGCACCTGCACCCCCAGGTCTCTGTAACCCTAGGTATATCCCTTTCCAGGGCGCTACGATTAACTATATAAGTCCTGCCCGGGTGTGCCTTCTCCAGTTTTCTTCCATTTGTCACACAGCTGTGTCTTGGTGACTGCTCTGAGCAGTGTGAACATTTTCTCCCTGGCTGAAATGCTGTTGGGAAAGTCAAAGGTTGTGTAAGGTGTTATACATGTACAAGTCCTTTCTACGTCAATATGAAGTTGTGTTAAATTTAAATTAAATGTATTTGAGGCAAGTTTTGGACCTGCCTTTAGATTAGTGCAGAGCTAGTCTCTCCTATAAAGCAGTCTAGTGTTTTCCACTCAGTAGTGTGTAGAGTCATAGGGTCGTACAGCATGGTAACAGACCCTTCAGTCCGATCAGTCCACAACGGCCATGTTTCCAACCTAAACTAGTCCCACCTGCCTACGTTTAACGTACATCCCCTCCAAACCTTCCCTATTCATGAACTTATCCAAATGTCTTTTAAATGTCGTAACTGTACCTCTGGCAGTTCATTCTGCACATGAACTACTCTGTGTGTAAAAAAGAGTTGCTCCTCATGTCCTTTTTAAATCTTTCTCCTCTTACCATAAAAATGTGCCCTCTAGTTTTGAACTGTAGGGAAAATACCCTTATTTTTGTCCCTCATGATTTTATAAACCTCTATAAGATCATCCCTCAAACTCCTACGCTCCAGTGATAAAACATCCAGCCTTTCCATTCTACTTTTATATCTCAAACCCTCCATTTCTGGCAACATCCTGGTAAATCCTCTCCAGTTTAATAATATCCTTCCTGTAACAGGGCAACCAGCACTACATTCAGTACTCCAGAAGAGGCCTCACTAACGTCCTGTGCAACCTCAATATGACGTCCCAACTCTTATACTCAAAAGTCTGAGCAGTGAAGGCAAGTGTGTTAAATGCTGCCTTAACCACCCTGTCTACTTGTGATGTAGATTTCATAGAATTATGTAGCAGAATCCCTAAGTCTCTCTCTTCTACAACACTAACCAGGGCCCTACCATTAATTATATAAGTCCTGTCCTTGTTTGTAATACCAAAACACAATACCTCACATTTATTCAAATTAAAATCCATCTGCCATGCCTCAGCTCATTGACCTAATTGATCTAGATCCTTTTGTAATCTTAAGTAACCTTCTTCACTGTCCACTATACCACCAGTTTTGGTGTCTCCTATATTCTCATATAACCTATAACCATGCCTCCTATATTCTCATCTAAATCATTTATACAAATGAAAAACAACTGTGGACCTAGTACTGATTCCTGTGGAACACCACAGGTCACAGGCCTCCAGTCTGAAAAACAATCCTCTGCCACCACCCTCTGTCTCCTACTGTAACTCCAATTTTGTATCCAATTGGCAGTCTCACCCTGAATCGCATGTGATCTAACTTTAAAAATTAGTCTACCATGCAGAACTTTGTCAAAGGCTTTACTAAAGTCCAAGAAAAATATGTCTACAACTCTGCCTCTATCAATCATCTTGGTTACTTTATTAAAAAACTCAATTAAGTTCGTGACACGTGATTTTCCTCTCTCAAAATCATGCTGATTATCCCTATGTATGTAATTCCTATCTTTCAGAATCCCATCCAACAACTTACCCAGTCTGATGTCAGACCCATAGGTCTATAGTTTCCAGGCTTCTTCTTACAGCCTTTTGTAAACAGTAATACATTAGACACCCTCCAGTCCTCTAGTACTGCACGTATATTTATAGATGATACAAATATTTCTATTCCTGAGTTCTCTAGACTCCATTTCTTTCTCAACAGTGAAAACTGACGCAAAATGTTCATTTAATATCTCTCCCATCTCCTGAGGTTCAATGCAAAAGGGCAACCTCATTGATTTTTAAGGGGTCCTACTCTCTCTCTCTAGTTGCTCTCGCTTTTTTTTTGTATTTGTAGAATCTTTTTGGATTATCTTTAACCTTATCTGTCAAGGATATCTTATTTCCCTCTTTGCCTTCCAGATCTTCTTCTTAAGAATGCCCTTACACTCTTTATGCTGTTCAAGAGATCCAGTTGATCCCAGTTGTCTGTATCTAAAATATGATTTTTTTTATTCTTCACTAGAACCTCAATATCTTTATTTATCCATTATTCTCTAATCTTAGCATTTTTGCCTTTCACTCTAACAGGAACATAATGCCTTGAACTCTCATTATCACATTTTCGATGGCCTCCCACTTGTCAGTTGTCCTTTATCTACAAACAGTCTATTCCAATCAGCTTTCGAAAGTTTTTGATTCATACCCTTAAAATTTGCCTTTCTCCAATTAAGAACTTGACCTTTTATGGAAGGCATTTCCTTTTCCATAACTATTTTAAAACTAATAGTATTATGATCACTAGTTCCAAATTGTTCCCCTACTAACACTTCAGTTACTTGCCCTGCCTTATTTTGCAAGGGAAGTTCAAGTTTTGCTCCTTCTCTAATATGAATATTTACGTATTGATAAAGAAAGTTTTCTTGAGCACACTTAATAAATTCTTCGCGGTCTAACCCTTTAACACTATTGCAGTCCCAGTGAATGTTTGGAAAATTAAAATTCCCTACTATTACAACCTTATTATTCTTGAACATATTTGAGATGTCTCTAAATACTTGCTTCTCAATTTCCCTCTGACTGTGGGGGGGACCTATATTACAATCCCAAAAAGATGATTATCCCTTCCTTATTTCTTATTTCAACCCATATATTTTCACTAAATGATCCTTCAGAAATATCTTCCCTAATTATAGTAATAATGTTTTTATTGCTC